CATTCAGGTCACAGCACCTGGAATGCTGTCCCCCTCTCGCATTCAGCAATTTGCCAAGTCAACTCCCTGGGGGATTACAGGAGTATCCATGCCAGCAGGCCTGGGGACTTCAGTTAGGGTTCGTTTCATGTTACACTTCTTCATAGAAACCTCACTGATTTTACTCACATTAAGCCATGCTCATCTCAGGATGAAAAAAAGAGAGAGAGAGAGAGAGACCATCAAACACTCTATGGTACGAACTCCATACCAGACACTGTCACAAGGGCTTCATATCTCTCAGTTCATCTAATTCTCACAGCCTGCTGAAGTAGGTACTATTTTTGTTCTTATTCCCATTTTACAGATGAGGTAATGGAGGCCCAGAAAGATGAAGTATCCTTCACGCCACGCCGCCTCTGTGCTGCTGTCTCTCCCGCAGAGAACCAAAGCCCAGACAGGGAACAGAAACTCTAGCTTTGGTGATAAATAAAACAGGGTGTAAATCCTGACCAAATTAAGTAAGTTCTGACATTCCCTCTTCCCATGTAAAATGAGAATCATATCATTCACCATAAAGCAGTGTTGTGAGGGTTTAAATGATATTATGCATGTCAAAGTTTGGTTCGTAGTCGGTCCTCAATAAATTTAAATCTCTTTTCCCTCTTCCAAACATCAGAATTTAGTCACTGTCTATGTCTGCAGGCAAACACATGTAATATTTCATATGCATACCCACACCGGCATATAATTTACCTTGGGCAGTTGGAGTGCTTTATTGTTCTCAAAACTTGCACAAACAGTGTAAGCGAAGTCGGTACTCCTTCACAAATAGGAAGACTGAAACCTCACCTTATGCTATTTTTACCACATATAAAACACGTATTTCATTCTCTTCTGAAGGTGATGTGATCTATCCCATGAAACATGAAACAGTAGTTTAAGACCTTGGCCTTTAATCCTCATTTTGGTCCCAGCCAAGTTCTCACAAAAGTTGGAACCCATTTTCACAGTTCGTATCTCTAGCACTGAAGAAGGATCTACTACTGATCTTGTTTTAAGGGGACAAGAGTTAAAAGCATTATTTTAAAAGAATTAGAACATTAGGAGAAACTGGACACTGAATCATTTGCCTGCAGCACAAAGTACCTACTTGGAAGCATTTAGACTACATCATAATGGCCGAAACTTAATCACATGATTAATCACATGATTATACTTCAGTATGGAAGCATTGTAAAGATGGTATTTATTTATCTATTCAACAAATATTGAGAATGAAATCTGAGCCAGAAACTGTGAAGGAAAAAGCATGAATAAGATAGAATCCTTACACCTGATGAAATTTGTTTAGTACAGAAAACAGATCTTTGAACAAACTATTTGTTTATAGCATGATTTACATTTTTGCATTTTTCTCTGAATAAATATTTATTGAAAACTAATCAATGAATCACTGCATAAAGAGGCTAGAAAAGAATGATGCTGGCCAGCACTGTGATCAAAAAGTATAATACAATACAATAGAATAATATGTTATATTATAGGTATATAATGTATTATCTATTATAATATAATTTTCATAGCTATAGATTCTTCCCTTGCTCCCCATTGCAGTACATGGTGTCTCCAGTCACCCAACTGCTCTTAGAGAAACCTGGCTGTCATCACTGACACCTCCCATTATCCGTCCTGAACCCCCTACCCACGTTCAATCCATCACCAAGTCCCAGCAATCCTTGCAACATTTATTTACATTTCACCCACTTCTCTCTCCATGACCATCATGTTATTCCAAATGACTAAAGCTGCTAAAGGCCCTGAAATGATTTTATCATCACTTTTTAGAATAAAGTCAAATTTCCTAACATGCTATAAAGCTCTACATAGTTCAATCCAGACATAGCTTTTTAAAAGGTCCTGTTTTGAATCACACTTCCCCACCCTTTACTCACTAGAGACACCGGATTTCTTTCATTTGCTCATTGCCACCTCAGGACGCTTCAACATGCTGTTCCCTCTGCCTGTGGAATGCCCTTTCCCACATTCTTAACCCAAGTGTTTCCCAAAGTTAACCAAAAGAATACGAAAATCTTTCAATGCCGCTTGGTCTGAGAAGACTCACATCAAAACTCAGTCCCCGTGGAGCGCGGTCTCCTCCCCCTCACAATACTTGTCACACTTTGCTCTTACATTTTTAGTTGTTGGACCATTTGATAAATTACTGTCTCCTCCACTAGGCAAAAAATTTCATGAAGGTGGGAACAGTGCCAGGTTTGTAGATGACACATATTCCCAGCACCCAGCACAGTGCCTGGTGGTCCATTCTACTGAGACCAGTGCAATTTTATACAATCTCCTTTACGGATAAGGTGTGTGCATTCCTGTTACAGCTTTATAGGTTAACATTTCAGAGTGAAACAGAAAAATTCCCTTCTGGTTACCAAGAGAAAGAATGGCTTTGTTGCACAAAGGATGTTCAAAATTCTTCTAAAAGAAAAATCACATTTGATTTGACATCATTTCCATAGTCTAGCCTTTCTCTCCAAAGAAGTTAAGTTTCTCTGCAAAAGGAGAATTTACAGAAACAGACTGGCTATTCCAGTACAGTGGTCTTCTGTATTGTTGCTTCACGTCACTCATTCATATGAAGGTATAAAATCAAAACTTGAAACGAAGGTATTTGCAATCCTATCACCATTCAGAAGACTTTGTTTCGTCACATTTATTAAGCGATCTGAATGTCCGGAACAGCTGATTCCTTATATTCAAATTCCAGTTATTTAACATTACGTACAACATTTCTTTATAACACGACTTACTAACATTTATTTCACTTGAGAAGTGAAAGTGAAAATATTGCCAGAGCATTTCCCATCATCCCTATTTGTTTTGTCTTTCCTGCCAGCCCATCTCTGACGAACCTACTCTGAAATGTAGCAGATAAACCTCACGCGTTGCTCATTTACCCTTCGGTTCAGGGAGCAGGAAGTAGCTGATCATGAAAGCCAAATTATCTTGCATCCAAGGAATGGATTTAAATCCACATCCAAAATGTATCTTAGATAAATGAACATAGCTTTGACAATAAAATCAGCCTACTGTGACCTTTATATTAAATTCTCTTAAATGCTGTCCCCAACAACGCCATTCACGGATAGTCAGGTGGCTTACCCGCCTATGGCATGATTTCTCACAGAAATTAGCTTCCGTAAAAGCGTTCACTATCAATCAGTCTGAGGTGCATCTTAGAAAAGAAAGTGCCAATAACAGCAGAACCGCATTTACCCAACTACTATAGCTGGTGTTGATACTTCAGCATTTTCATTCCTTTCCTCTACTTAGTCACTTAGAAATAATACCAAGAGAGAACTAGAAAAGTTAAAATAAACAACCCTATGGCTGAGGTCTTTCCCCTTCACTAAGAATATTACATGCTTGTTAATATAAGAATTAAAGCAGCCTTTTAATGAAGTATAAAGGACTATTCATGAAATCTGAATATGTTCTTTTGCTTCCAAATTTTCTAGCTCTGCACTTAGAAAAAGACATAGATTCTCTAGTCATCTTAAACGTCAAGAAACATCTTAAATTCCTGCATAAATTTTAGTTCGTATTTTCCCAAACTGTGGTTAGCTTCCAGAAATGCACAGGGACGTGTAGCATATCTGATATGAACATAATGAGCTCTTTATGCTACCCATATTAATGCGTGATATTTAATCATCTGTCACACACTGAGGATGCACTAAATTCCAAAATGTCTACTTTCTATATAATAGATATTGGACCACCTCCAGAGGTAATTTTTTTTCTTTTGAGAATAAATTATTTGACTTTTTAAAAAAGTAACTCGCATATCAAAAATAGTAGCTTCAATAACCCATAAAGCACACTTTTTATAACATGGTTCAAAAAAACTCAAGAGTTTAGCTCTCAAATACATTTCTCTGTACTTCAATGTTATTGATATACTTCTTAGGGGTATAAATAAAAAAGATTTTCAAGAAAATACCCAAACATTATCTAAATATAAATCTGAACAACTGGAAGCTTTTGGCCCGTAAAATAAATGACAATCTTTTCTAGGAAACATCCCTAAATTTCTTTCCTCTGTCAAAAATAAAACTTCTTCCAGCCAACAAGTTGTCCATCAATATGACCTACATGGTCAGTTCAAATATCTTTTCACTGAGTTATAAAACACTCAGTTTTATTATCCCCTGGGCCATCTAATTAAAATAATCACCATCTGCTCCTTCACAAGAAGCTCAAAATACAAGGATACTTAAATTCACCGAGCATTCTCTCCTTGTCTGATTAATACATTTGAGGAGTTCAGTTCTAATTTTCAGATAATTGATTCCAGTCCTTCAAAATCTGAAGCTTTGCTAATATTCAACTCAATCTCTCAGTTTCTTCTAGTAGATTTGCTGGAAAAATACCCCTTCATTAAAATGGTTACACAAGAAGATAAGACAAGAATAATTTTTTTTTTTAATTTGACAATGATGCAGCCCAAACCTTTAGCCTCTTACACCTGCTGTAGTCACAGGATGTTCCTTCTTTGATTAGACTAAGTCTTCGTGGGTGCTTTTGCTTTCAAGATAAAGAAAGTCTTTAATGTTATGACATTGAGAATGCACTTCTCAAATTTTATATTTTTTTCCTAAGACAAATTATGTCAGTTCTTCACTCTACTCAGTGATTAACCAGGAGACGTAAATAACTGAACAGTTGTTAATTGCTAGTTTTGCAATGTTTCCCTTTTCTATTACCCAGTGTCCTAATTTTATGCTCAAACCTAAAATTATCTGCAAGAGAAAATGGCAATCAGGATCTGGGTAAATAATTTCAATGTCTGACATTCTATTAAACTGATCTTTTTTTAAGTGAGAAAAAAAAAAGCTACCCAAGTAGTATTTTCAAACATTCAATTCATAATAAATAATCGATAGCTTAAAAAGAAGAAAGGAAGCATTATTTTAACACTGCAAATTTTCATCTAAAAACAGCTTTACCTTAATTATTTATCCAGTCCTGCGCAATCTTTCCGGGGCTGTTTGGAAATGGCAGACCCCTGGAGCAGAGACGACTTCTATGAACCTTTGAGGATCTAGTCAATGATTTAAAGACCAGTGGGAGTGAACGAGACAAGCCAATCACCACCACCACCTCACCCCAACACCTCCCTCAGTCCAACTTGCGTCACCGCTTAAAAAAAAGAGAGACGCTAAATCTGTGTACTGTTGTACACTTGGATTAAACATCGGTTACACCAACTTCTATTTGCTTTGAGAATTTTGGCTTTTAGGCAACACATACTCACTTACTGAAAGTTTTGCCTCAAGTCATGTCCTTCTGTAGCAAGATTCTGTAGGTTGGTTCACTGATAAATCTAGAAATGTTCATTTTTCAAGCGGTTTAGGAACCGCAGTCAAAGTCAAATAATACAATAAGAATGGAATCAGACTGTCCAAAGAAACACTGTAATCAGAATGTATAAAAAATATTAAATAGCAGAAGAATGATTTTCTTTTGAATTGCTGACTTTATTCAGAGGAAATGTTATAAATAACAACAGCACTAAGTTACTCAAGGTGCTGTGATGTTGGAGATCATAAGTCCTTCCAGCCACTGCTGTCATTTCAAAGGCAGTGCGCTGAGTAAGCAAAACACTGTTTGGAGTTTTTAAAGAATTCTAAATAGGCATTTCCCCCGTTTCAGAAAAATCTTCTTGGTTTTCCACATACTAGAGGAAGAGTTAAAATGTGTTGGCAAATAATTTATTCTGTGATGAAAATGTAAAAAGCAGACTTACCATTCTGAAAGCGGGGTGAGAAAAACAGATTAAAAATCAACCCAGAATTAAAGGTTCTTTGCCTCTTTTATATTTATAACATGAACGAACTATCCAATAACCAATCAGAAGAAATGCTAGATTGCAACAGTTGTGTCAATTCCCTATTTCTATTGAAACAAAAACCAAACTAAATATTGTTCTTTGAGAAAGAAATTCTTAAGTTGACACACGACATTAAACGAACAATGTTCAATTACCCATTTTTCTCTTCCTTTTCAAATGTGCCCATTTGGTCTTTAACTTTAATATGGTATGTTTACTTTTGTTTGTCTTTTAGTTAGCTGCTTCTTTATTTTCAGAGTTACCTTGTAGTTTTATCCCTTATCAGATGAAAATTATTACGGTCTAGGGGAAAAAAATGATAGCAAATATACTAATGTCAATTTCAGAGAAATTTAAAGAATATTCCTTTCCAGATTACGTCCATCATTTAATTATAATCTTTCCAACTTAATGTTACTTCTGTTTGCAAAGTTACCAGATGAGAATAAGATTAAGCAAGCAAAAACCTTCACTAATTGTTAGAAAATGTAATACTTATATTCTAGTCAAATTCCATTTAATAGGAATTACATTTCATACTATGATATCTTCATATAAAATAGGGTAGAGATAAATGTATAAATACCTAAATGTATAAATACCTAGAGTTTTACCCCTCTTAAATTTAAGTTTGGCTTCCATGTAATTCTGATCTTCTTCAAGTACACTAAATAACTATAGTAAGTTCACATGTTGGATTAAAATAAAAAGTACACATGAGACTTCTACGAAGGGTCTTTTCATAATTCTTTTAAACCTACTCTAATTGCAAAATTCTTATCATGAATCTTTCCTAACAGTGACTTAAAAATCAAATACAAACATACAAAAACTAATTTGACAAAAGTTGGTGGAATTAAAATCACTGAGGATTTTTTCCCCTTGATATTTGACATGTTTAGACATGTCAAAATTAATGAAGAAATATAGAGTCTGATCTTGACAAAGCTCACAGTAACTTTCCTTTCATAAGGAAAACACAGACTTATATAGTTTAGTGTTTTAAATATTTCTTAATATCATACCATGATGTAATTTCCTATAGATTCGATAATGAGTTTATGCTCTTCATTTTTAACATATGGCAAATGCCACATATTCTGTTAGGCTCTGATATGGTTCAAGTATCACCATACAACGAGATAATGAGCCAGAATATGTACAGACTTAAAAAATATGTGGGTAGTGAATAATGAAGCAAGTCTGAACAATGAGATGACACTTTGATCCTTCACATAAGGGATTCATATAAGTGCCACCAAGAGCAAGTATATGAGACTTGGTCTGTGTTGGGGGAGGGAGTGGTTTGCAGGGGGTGAGCTATGTTCACTTCAAGGGAGACCTGACTTCCCAGACTATAATGTCATGTTAGCAGCATTGCATCATATGTCCCAGGAATCCAGAAGACGAAAAATCCCCGGGGACTAAGACCACCCAAGATGACTTCAGGGAGCCTATGGACCTTGAAGAGGGCCTGAAAATCCAGGTGAGATCCCAACAGGTACAGAGGAAAGAGAGCGGCATCCTGAGTGAAAAATACAGACATGCTAAAAGCATATTCTGGCAATGGTAAAAGCTAATCTGGCTACGGGGAGACTTCTGGAACAAAATAGAAGGGTAAGATGGAACAGTCCAGACTGTGAAAGGCCTTAAGTCTGGGGAGCTCAGATTTCTGTCATCAGGATCTCTTGAAAGCTTCTGAAGAAAATCATAAAATCAGCAGGGAAGAGATTTGGGGAGGGTGATGGGGTAGAGAGGGAGCTGGGGACAAGGAGGACGCTGAGGAAGCTGACTGATGGTTTGGCTTTGCTGATGTTTGCCTGTCTGGGGACACTGGCAGAAGAGAAAGCAGATGGAAAGGATTTCAAGTGAGGTCAGTGGTAGTTTACCTCTTTCTTGTTCTACCGTTTCCATTCATCACCTTCACTATCTCACAACACATGCTGTGAATTTTATGTGATTATTCTATGAGAAAGAATAAATGTAATAAAATCTTCATTTTTCTTTACTTAGAGAAAGAGACTAGATGGTGGTAACTCATCCATTTCAGCACCCTTCCCAGCAGTCTGTGGCTATCATTTTCAAACGGTACAGAGAAGGTCCTAGGATATAAAATCCCAATATGTTATTTATCAAATATACAAAATTGCTGGCTCCAAATAAATTGACTCAGATCACGCCTATGCATTGAATGAGATTTTTTTCTTGTCCATATTTAAAAGCACTGTTCCTTGTTTCAAATTTCTACCTTCATCGATGTCCTCAAAGAGAAAGTTCCAGCTGGATAAAGTTAAAATTTGTCAACAATTAAAAAAATCCCTTAGCCAGACCATCATGCCATTTTGCAATGACCCAGGGAAAGATAACCTCTTGTTCTCATCATGATTGTACCCAAATTTCTAATTTTAGTCATGGGATGAAATAATACTTAGAAATACAATTTGGTTAGAGCCAAGTTGGAAGAAGATAGAAACAGTTTTGACTAAAAAACAAACAAAATAACCTAATTTTTAATAATTTTGTATGGCTTTTGTGTCTCTATTCACTTGATTTTTTTTTTTGCTCCTACTTCAATTTCCCTTTGGGTCACCTTTTTCCTCACTTCTGTTTCTTTTTAACTCTTCTGCACAACACTTTTCTTGATACCTTATTCTCCCAGAAGTTACCTCTTACCATGTTCAGTCTCTAGATTCATAAACTCAAAATCTAATGAAATAGATCAGTTTCCAAGATTACAAGTCTGTCCTCATCCTACAGCCAATATTAGCACTTCCAAATACGGACAACACATACATTAACCCAACTGTTTTTTTTTAGTATTGTAGGTAAATGTCTATCTGAACAAGTCATTCCTAGAAACGGAAGGACACTAGCACAACTGCAGTGAGAAACAAGATTTTGATTACTTCTTTTCAATGTAGGGTTTACTCTCCAGCTTTTGTGTTTCGGGTTTAATAGCAATGAGGAGAATTTGTGATCTTTTTTGATGTCATACTTTGGGTGTCCAAATTCTTCATGTTATCTCTCTTAGTATGAACATATGGGGGGGGGGTTAAAAAAAAAGAAGAAGAAGAAGAAGAAAATCCATACAGAAATGTTGCAGAAATCTTCCTAAATCATTCAATGAGCAGAATTCATCTTGCCCTGAAGGAGAGCTGAGTGCTTATGTTCTTTGCATGACCTGCAGGGTGAGAAAAGCGTCGGTGTGCTGTAGTCTCTCTCTTCACGGTTACAAAATCATTAACCTCAACTTACCAAAAAAGAAATAAAGACTAAAAAAAGAAAAATATGAGTATTGCCCCCAAAAGCCACAGACCAAATTCATTATAAACACAGAAAAATAAATAATTTTCTACTTCCCCTTTCGGCAGAGCCTCTCCGATGTCCACAGGCCAGTTCCATTTCTCGAGGCTCCAAATATAATTTTGAAATTAAAAAAAAAATCCAAAACAGGGTGACTAAATTGTAATGCGTTTTCAATGTTCCTGTTTCACAAAATAACACCTTCACGCACATATCATACAAGTGACTTGATGAATAGGCTTATTTGATGAGAACTTTCAAAAGTCTAAATTTGGGACCCTCCCAATTAAGAGGCCCCAAAAGGCTGCCCAGCCCAGGATGCTGAGGGTGGCCCTGCTTTTCTGTTCTAAAACACCATCCTGACCAAGAGAAGGGCAATGAGCCACGCGTGCTGAGGAAATTGCTTGGTTGATGGCCTCCTCCCTCTCTTGAGCCCAGCCTAAACCACCTCTACAGTTATACAATGGAGCATTTTGGAAATGTTTGAATAGTCACTGTGTTGCAAACTTAGCAAACAAGTTTGGTGCAGGTTGACAAACTCAACTGACTTGGCCACAGACCTAAATAGAAAATTCCTTTTAGCCTCAGCTGACAGAAAAACCAAAAAACAAAACACCTAGTCAGAAGACAGCTCATGTTGTTCACGATGTTTTGTTCTCTGTGTTCCAGCTTCAAGAAACTCACATCTTCCTGGTCCATTTCATTTCCTGATCCCACATTGAAAGGAGGCAGAGAAAAGGGTATCACACATTCATTCCAGGCTTCTGCCTAGGAGATACCCTGGTAGAAAAAGGATGACAAGGTCCATGGGGCTGATGGGTGATTATAATTTAAGTAATGGACTGACATTCTCAGTGTTCAGTTAAAGCTCTTAAAGACTTGCTTTGAAGAATGATTCATATCCTTTAAAATGCCTGCTTCAGA